AAAAAACAAAATACAATGATTTTGTTTGTGAAATTTGTATTTTGAATATGAAGGCATTTGAGAGAAATACTTTTCAATCGACATTTCTTCGTTGACGTTGTTCCACGCAGGACTGAAAAACAGATTAAACTGATTAACACAATTGAAAAATTTACAAGCTGATAGTTCGGCACGCGAATGACTCGGTGGGATTTCGCTGTGGTTTTATTATTTTGTTCTTTTCGTTGGAGAACCTCCCATTTAACGGTAAACCACGAAAATTGGAGAATAAATTGATGAAACGTGTCCTAAAGTGCGCGTGCTGAGGCTCGCAAATATTTTGACACCATATTTGCAGAAGGTTTATCCAAAATAGCACGTCTTTCTTTGTAGGGACTCGGCATTTCCAAGAAGGGAATTATATCGAAGGAAAATTATTTACTGACTGATTTCCAAATTGGGTTATAAAACAGCAGCGAGCTAGATTCAGTTAAAGTGGCATGTTTCTTGCAACATCGATTCCATCTTCTTTCTGAACTGCATCAGTTGTATAATCATGATAAGAAACGTGTATTAATAGACGACTGGGGTGTAATGATGTTATACCCAAGTCAGAAAGCGACCATTTATGTAATAGCGTGAAGGCCTACATTATTGTGACATGTTATGTAACGATTAAAATAGTCCGGATACTATACTTGAAATTCACAATAAGATGTTATAGAATATCAGGTTTCTTATTATATTCATATGTAAATCACATGTTGACCTGAAGTTATTATTGTTTGCATATTTGTATTTTACCTTGCGTTTACATATTCGTTGTTATTCAATTACTGTATTTGGAAAATGCATAAAATAAAATAAAATCAAAATTGTTTTAAAGCTCGCTTTTGGCCGCACTTGGAGCTTATACACTGCATGTGGAAGGAACTTGATCTTTTTAAAACTTCACGAACGTATGAGGCAGAGGGAGGGGGTTGCAGCCCCCCTCATGACTTTCATAATTATTTGGGAAACCGTCGCATATTCGCACAGCTGTAGCTGTTTATTTGGAATTCCATTATCTTATCCACACGAGAAATAAGCACTTAATATTGTAAATTAATCAAATAGAGCGCCATTGTTTTGCTTGCTTGCTTTGCTCGCTTGCAGTTTTCCGAATGTAATTGTGATCTTTCGGGCAGGTGAGACGTCACTTCCCTGGCGAAGATTTGCCTGTCATACACTTGCCTGAGATAGCCTTTTTTGTAAATATGCTTAGAGAAATGACTTAGAAATTAGGTATTACAAGAGATATTTGCCGACTTTTCGTCGGAAATCGATTTACACGACCAATTTAAGACACAAAATTGCAATCTTACCCATCCTGTGTACGGCGCACATATCGGTATGTACTATACGCGAACCCACACAGAGCGTAATTGTCCCATATATTGACTTTCGTGTAAGGATTCGTAGCGCTATTACATACCAAACCCCAGCCAATTACCGCTAATGAAAATGGATTTGCTTGGCATTTCGCGGAGATTCGGGGCTATACCTCCCGGTAAAGAGTCTTGCCAGGCAACGTGAAATAATGTATTCATCATACTTTTCTGCATGCTTTTAAAGACATTTGCAGCTGTTTACGGCCCTCCACTGTCATAATTGCTAAGCCAGGGGCAATCCAAATCTTAAGACTTTAGAGGGGTTACATGCTTTGAGTAACTCAGCATGCCCTAAAATTAAATTCTTGGCATTTTCAAGATGTTAATATTTAAAGTACTGTAAAAAAAAAAGAAGGTATTGCTGGATCCTACTAAAAACAATTTTTCTTATAATTATAAAGGAATTAATTGTTTTGTTGTCCTCAAACTCGTATACAGTTAGCCTAAGACAGCGTATTATATTGTTGAATGACGTTCATATTTGTACTCTTTTGTCGTGGAGAACGGAGTGTCAACTGGACAGGGTGACCTTGTGAAATTATGAGTCATTTCTTGGGTGTAAACTTGTACTCTTTAACGACACGTTCATGTAAATATAGTGAAGCAAGAGTAAACTACCTAAACAGATTTATAGTACAGTTGACACTAATTCGTCGCTGTTTTCACGAAGTGACGGTAGTGAAAAAAAATTGCATTCACTTTGCGTTACGATTTTCCTCACTACCGTCACTTCGTGAAAACAAGGACGAATTTACGTACATTGGTGAGAAAGATCTCAAAGTGTTCTTTAACCTTTTATCTTTTTTTAGTTTTTATGATGAAAAATAAATGGACCCCAAAATAAATGATGCATAGCCAGATGTAATGGGTGAGGACAGTGATGTAAAATGTCATTTATTTCAATTTAGAGTAATAGAGAAGTGAGGCCTATCATAATGTTAAGGTAATTCGTAACGACGTGAGTGTACGGAGAGAATTCAATTTATTCCAAGAGAAAATAAACGCATTTTTCTTTTAGTAAATATAGACCTTTTTCCTAAAATTAACAGGGCTTTATTTTTCTAACATTTTATTTTACAATATACTTGCTCTTTTCCTCAAATTGACAGGAATATAAATATACATTTAAATCATGTTTATAAACAATTCAAGTACTTTCACGACCTTGTCAAACTATGTTAATAGTTGCCGCAAGTATTAACATTACTCTAAATTTAAGTGTACAATTTATTACCCTGAAGAAAAAGAAGAAAAAATGGAGTAGAGTAAAAGCACTTTTCTTGAGGCCGTTAAAGTGCAGTCGTCATCCCGGATGAAGAATGATAATCACATTGCTCATGTGACAAATATTTATCGAGATATCCGCTTCGCAATGTCAAATGTGACGGAGATATGGCCCATTAGCGTCCGAAAGACACCCAGTCCTGTAACACAGTATATGAGGCGAATCGTCTGTAATTGCATTGCTAGGGGTTAGTCTTTGATTATTAGACCCTGGACCTATTACAGAGATACCTGTCTATAGGCGTATATGATTAGATCATGTGATATTTCAGCGAAATAAGATCGATTTCCATTCATTTTTGTCATTACAAAACATCATAGCATAATAAATAATGTTTTTGCTAAAGATAAAGGTGAGTTCTGGTCATCTGAGTGCATTGTGAAAGAAAAGGTGTGGAATATGGATCAGAAAAAGTTGATCATGTAGCATGTAAGTATTGGTGTGTACTGCAAAGTTCTGGAGTCATCAAAATCATAATAGATTTGGCCCAGTCTTGGTAAAGTAACAAGCACTGTAAACAGAAAGATGTATATGGGACTACACAAATGGTGTCGGGGCTACTAACCGTGATTTCCTAATCTTTCTATGCGCATTACTCAGCCAGTATACATTTTCTACCAAAATTGTTTGGCAAATGACATTTATTTGTAATCTTAAACATTCAGTTTAAGTTTCGTTTGATTCTGTGGCAATTCATTTTCTTTCTTTTTTTTACCAGAACTCACCTTTATCTTTAAACCATAGAATTAACCTTTCCGAATTGCTTCCAGGCTGATTTTTTCAAAATGATATTGCATGGCAAGAAAATCGCTGAACAGATTCCAGGATTATAATTCCGTAATTTGACTGTAGGTCACCACTTTGCTATCTCCATGTTCCCACAAATTATTGCATTTAAATTTCAGATGGAACACAAATTCGAGAAGGAAATATAATAAATCATAAATTTGGCATACATGTCTGGATGTTCAGATGAGATTTGCAGCGCCCATAATGAATGAAATTAAAAAAAAAAAAGCACAATTTTGCCGCCATTTTGTATTGTCCCGCTTTCTGTTTCGTTGAATGAGAAAGACGCCGATCGCCTGTGGCGTGTATTTATAGGTTTATGGGCAGATTAATCGACTTATGACTGAAAAGAGTTTTGTTAATTTATCTGATCGTTGAAGTAAGCTCCCTTCAGGGGAAAATTGGGTTGATAGATTTGATTAAGCTATGATAGTGGACTTCCAATTAATAACCATTAAAATATAAAAACCGTGGAATGGATCTAACTTGCTGGCGTATCGAGATGCAGGGGTTACAAACGGTCAAAAATTAATACTTAGTGAATGGGGAAATCGATTTTAGCAGCAACTGTTCTGGTATTTCTGCAGTGTATTCACTCGGACGTTTCGTTTATTATTGAAATGAATGCAATAAATGTTATTTCGATATTTGCTCAATGTGTGTTTGTTAGTGTATTGTGCATGAGAGGTGTGGGCGTGAGTGCGTATATGTGCGTGTGTGTTTATCACTATACATTTATTCCATTGTTAAAGGTAAAGACCAGTATTGGAAACGCCCCAATTTCAAAAAATGAAATAGAAGCTCTCATTACCAATCATGTGAAAGAATATGTTTTGACTAATACATGATGATAAAAAAAATTGCCGGGAAACCGCCTACTAATTCATATATTTGGTAAATTTGTTTCTCTCATGGACTGTGAGAGATATAGGGTAGTCCCATATACATCTTTCTGTGTATAGTGCTTGTAACTTTACGAAGAATGGGCCAAATTTCTTATCATTTTGATGATTCCAGAACCTTGCAGATGCTAGATGCTAACACAGTTGCCAGCTCTGGTGTGAACGTCACACCGATAATTGTGATGGAGATATGAGTTGGTTTTAGTGGTCAGTTCTCTGGTCTGACTTCACCAGCACCGAGGTTCGAATCCTAAGAGAGTCTATTGGATGATGACTTAAACTGTTTCTCCTAGAAAAGTAGAATATCTGATCAACACCTCTGTACAGACGCAATCACACATGCCCAAAATTAAATCACACACACACCAGGGATCTGTTAGAAAAACACGCACACTCTTCGCGCACACCCACCTTCTAAACCCTCTCCTCCCACGCACGTGCTTTATCCTACCAATAGTATTAGAGAAATCATACTATAAAAGTACATCCGTGGTCTTTTGATTGTATTAGTAAGGAGATTGTAAAAATAGTGAGAGCTAAAAAAGGCAATCACAAAAATGTAAACATCGAGAGCAGAGTTGTCATCGCCCGAGAATTCTTCCTGAAATTCCGTAGCCGCCTAAACATGGACCAAAGGAGATGAACATGACCTTTGACCCGAACGGTGGTCTCCTGGGTCATGTCGAGAGAGTTCGTGGGCTCCCGTATCCTTTCGACTGCGTTCGGGATGGCTCGGGTATCTACGAAAGATTACTCCCATGCGTGGACCTCGTAAGCCATTTGGTCGTCAGCCTTTTTCTTCTTTTCTGTTTCACCAGCCCATGAATATTTTTGATTATTGAGGCAATATGGAGGAGGGGATCAATGACATGTGTATATGATATAGGATTATGTCTGGTGCAGTTTTGTTTGTTATCACAACTTAACAGTTGAACTGTATAAGAATATGAAGTAGGAACATACATTACCCCCCCCCCCCCCTTCTCCTTATTATTTCTAAGTAATGTGAAGTGGGGTTAACTTTTTACCTCTTCTTCTTCCTCTGCTTTTCATGAATTTATTTTCTGCGGCCACTTTCTATTTCTTGTCACCCCCTTCTACTTCTACTCCTGACTCTCACCACCCATGACATACGATTTCCCTTTTGGTGTGACCTTTATCCCTCCCCCTCTCATATTCCACTACACATGTATATTTGAGGTCATCTTTATGATCATTCGTCTTTCCTGACAAAATTCCTTCTCTAATTGATAAGCCGCCATAACTTGATGGAAATCGTTATTTCATCTTGCTCACTTAGTCAATCAAAGATGTCACTTCCATTTAAACACAGAACTTCCCAGTGCATTTACACTTACGATGTGTAATCATGCTAAATGATCTATAGCTCGCATTGATATTGGCCTTTTCGAATGACCAAGGGAGGAAATACCAAATCGTGGCCAAGTGACACTGCATTTTCGGTTACAGATGTTTACACGTCACGGAAAATTACTTTCCACTTTTTATGGGAATAAACAATGCTCTCAGTGGCGGGTTAACGATTCTTTGCCCGGGGGGGGGGGGGGCACAAATCTGAAAATTCTGTGGCAATGAAAACAAGATCTTCTTGCCTTTTGAAGTTTAAAATTTACACCGGAAGAAGGGGCATTCCCCCCCCCCCCTTTTTTTTATACTAGATTTGTACTTAGGCCGGTTTCCTGATTGTGGTTTGCCAGAGCATGGGCATCTGCCCCCTGCCCCCCCCCCCGAAACTCCGTGAATTCGTCTCTGGCTGTCGAATCTATTGGTGGAAAATGTGATAAGAATTCTAAACTTCGAGATCTGTCAAGTTCTTTGCCACGTATGACATGCTGTTAGTATCATATCGGTCATTCGATGCATATTCGAGACATTTCGTTTACACAACCTGACTCTTGGCTGTCGTGTTTATGATAACATTTGACATTGATAAATTTTAAAGGGAACTGTTCGATGATAAAGAACAAGTTCTAATTTGTGTCATCCGTACTCTCTCTCTCTCTCTCTCTATCTCATATCTCCCTTTGCCCCCTTCTCCCCCTCCCTCTCTCTCTCTCTTTCTCTTTTCTATATCTCTCTTTGGCGGTTTTTTCCCGAGGCTACATTTTTAATTATGATTCTCTTTCCCCCTCTATTTCTCAAATTGTTTTACATTGTATAGATTGTGATTGCCAGCTTCTACTTACAAAGGTGTTTGATATCTTCAGATAATGATACAGAGCTGCAATACACGTGTTGTCTCCCAATATAATATAAAAAGAACTCAACTGTTATAATCATGTCAACATTCTAAATCTGACATTTATACTTATTGAATTAGTACAAATGTGATTGCAACATATCAGTAATGAGCTAATTTCGGCGGAGGCAATTTCCATTTCATCAAACTAAAGTGCTAGCTATTGGACTTGCATCATATTAGGCCTACCACTAATACGATGACCCATTGTACTTTTGGCAATGGTACTTACATACAGCCTCGGGGCAAATTTCGTTCATTTTCGGAAAATATCTTAGAACTCAGTCCGTGGTTTGATTTACAAGGCCTTTAAAAGTATGACTCATATTTTTCTCCCCCTAATGTCATTATTGTCACGCTGCGAATTATTAGACAATCGGCTCGCCGCCACGGGGTCAAAGGTGGCGACCTGTGCACCGACCGTCTTTATTTATGTTCTTTACTATTTGGAAGTCAAGGTGCTGGCTAGTCTGGTTTCAGCCGCTTGCTATTGACGTTGCCGTTTTCTTTTTAAATGTTTTTTTAGACATGGCATTTGTATGAGCGTTATGTTCGATTATGGGTTTGCTACAACATATTAACAGTTTGTCAAAATGGAATATCAATTCGTAAGTAACTTGTCGTTATTTGTGACTCTAGCAATAAAGTTGTACAATTTTCTCTGTTCTTTTGTTTAATCAGGGTGCCTGAAATTTTTCTGTATTGCTCGTGGGAAATCCGGCTAAAATCAAGTGATGACGGATGAAAAATGAATCTCCTCTCTTTCAAGAACGTCACGAAATTCTAGTAATTGCAAAGCTGGCAATACACTCGCAATGCACACGCACGCCCTCTCTCTCAAACCATTGTTCATGCTCAAACATACATACATCATGTACCGCGGGATTGTTGTTGTCCCCTGTTGTTATGTTATTATTAACACGTTATTAAGTAAACATTCTTCTGGTGTTAGGTTATTTTTTACACATCTAAGTTATTGAAGTTGTCTGAATGATATGGCTAATGAGATGATTATTCATGATATACATTCCTTTATCATTTATGATCGAAACTTAGCGACTTTACCACAATACAATTGCGATGTTCAGATGTTTGATTCGCAGTGGGAATTAGCCCATTAAATTATATTAGATTTATTTTATTTTATTTTTTAAATTATTTTCTCTTCTCTTGGTTAATCTTGCCACCTGTCTCATTCTCATTCTGTTTCCTTTTCTCTCTCTCTCTCTCCCTCTTCTACTCTCTCTTTCTCCATATTCTGATATTTTCTCATTTATGTTCACACACTGCAGTGAATGCTCAATTTTGTTTTCTTAATTTGATCGGAAGGGTGCCAGGAAAAATCTTTCCTCACCTAGCAGATGTTGGCGTGTCAGGAAAATATTTGGGCAAAATCCCTAGAAAAATACGAATTATGTCCAAACATTGTTGGCTTACAAGACCGAGGTATGCACGGGCCAAAGGGTTTGTTTGCATTATTTGAATTGGAATGACACAGCGCGATTTACCTGTCGAGGAAACCTCATGGATGGTGGAGTTTGGTAGGACAAGGGGGCAATAACCCCTTATTTAATGCCCAGCACCTCGCTTTGCCACCGATACCACAAATTACCACCACCACCACCACCACCTGCACGACTTCAAACCCCATCGGCACGTCCATTACCATCATCACCACAACAATATTACCACTCTCTTCTCCACCGCCAACACCACCATCTCCAACATCATCACCACCACCATCATCAAAACTACGACCATTATCACCAACATCATTATCAACACCGTCGTCAAAATCACCTTCACCACAATCACCACAATCACCACCATCACTACCACCATGATCACTACCAGCACCACCTCCATCATCACCACCATCATCATCATCACTACCACCAACATCAGCATAGTCATTATCCCGCCCCTCACTGTCATCCCAACCATCACCACAATCATTATCACCTCAACAATCACCAGCATCACCACCACCATCCCCACCACCATCATCATCACCACCAACATCAGCGTCGTGGTCACCCTTTACAACTTTTTATCATCAGAACGGTAACTATTAAAGGGCAAGTTATACCATGCAGTATAAAGACCTACGAGGCTACATTTTTACAGACGAAAAGTCTGAGCTTCCTGGATAGACAGACTAAAACAAGAAATGACAGCGGACGTCAATTACACCCGAAACTCCGGAAATAAATCAATGATCAAATAGTTCCCGCCCCTGTCTTAACATATCTCTGGTCTTACAATGAACTTGAACTGATTTTAAGGGACAGACTAAAACAATTACAAGGAACCTCCGGAAATAATGACATAGTTTACAATGAATTTGAAATGACTTTAATCTTGACCCACTTCTGCTCAAATTATCGACCAAACAAGGGACCATTTCTGTCGTTTTTTGTCACAAGAACGGATACATTTATGCAAAACAAGTAAACTCTAAACGATTATCTTCCAGTCTAAGATTTGATATATGTGATTTCAAAATCATCCTATTCATAGATTAATCTCAGATTTACTCTATGGTGAGACTCCTTCCCACGGGTATCCCTCGGGCAGCGGCTATTGAAGTCCGGGGTCATGACCTTATGACCCCCGACCCCTGAACAGCTGAACTGTATTCAGTCGGGACGTCTTGACGAGTACCAAACGAAATCGACGATGATGGTTCGATAGGATTCAGGATTTATACGACCATCTTAAATCTCACCGACGTTTGTTCGTCTTACAATCGCTTACAAATTACCGCAACCGCAATATGTTTTATAGGTGTCAGATTTGATAACAAGATTAATAACAAAAGTTAAAGTCATGAGGCGGTTTCTGAGAGCCTCTAGTCTAGAAACCTTTCGTCAGGATCTCTTTGATTTAATATGTTAATACAGAAAGACGTTAAGCAGTGGCGTATCGAGATATTGCCCATTGGATTGAAAATACCAAAGCATACAACGGTCTACTTATTGCATGATAACGATTATTAGGGTTCTTAGGCCCTTTCTCATGAAACTTGCTATCAATAACAGTTATAATAAATATTGTAAGCTAATGGTATGGTTTGGTATTTATTTTCCAAATCACACAAGAAAAATACAATACAACAAAATAAAAACGTACATGCAAGCAAATTTAGCACTTGTTATTAACTAAAAACAAATGTTTGTATAAAAGAGGGCCAAGGTTTTCTGGCTCGGTTCAAACTCTTAAAATCCACAGATTTTGAATGCTTAATAAATTTACTACAATTTCGATTCAAGAATTTATTCATTCTTCTAGGTTTGGAGAAAAACAATAACTAAATATGATGAAGCACATTGTGCAATACAATTTAGAATACCATGCAAAGGATATATTTGAAATTTGTATACTCGTTTTGTGAGCGTGGAAATGACAAATCTGACCTCTTTTGTGTTACAAAGAAGGTGCACGAATAACATGTTTAGGAGCGATTTTTTAGGTGGATCAACAAAAAATGAGAACAGGGGAGAAAACTTTGGCATTGCTGACAAAGCAGAGCTGTTTTCACAAGAACTTTAACAAGATGTTTGGCTATGGGGGTCAAGCTCCCGCGCGTTCGGTGGTATTCACGACGTAATTGGCTTCTTTTGTGCTCTTTGGTGGCTTTATTAAGGCGGTCGTCACGCCCGTCACGCCCAAAGCACCCCCTCGAAGAAACTCGGGTACCTTCACTCCTTGCCCCTTTCTCTCTCTATCTCACTTTTTCTCTATGTTACATATAGTGCTCGGTTTTCTCGTTTGCTAATGTATGTAGTCTTGTAGCGACATATAGGGTTCGATCCAGTGTCATGTTTTTAGATTTAGACAACATCTCTACGAAGGGCTATTAACACACATGCCGCCCAACCCCCACATCCCCCCCCCCCCCATTACACACACTAATATCTTCCCTCTCCCTCTTTCTTTCTCTCTCTTCCTCCGCCCTTCCCGCTGTCTCTCTTTCCCACTCTCTGATTTTGTTATGCTCTTGCCCTTTTTTCTCTTTCTCTTTCCAACTCCCTTTTACAGTTTGTATGCTTTTTCTTCCCCATCCCCCCCCCCTCCCCTCCACCAACTCCACTGCCTGCTTTTTGGCTATACAAGTGGGTTATCTACCCTCGTTACACCTGTGTTGCAAATTATAGAAAAAAGGGAAGAGAAGTAGACGGTAGATGATTCCATGATTCCTGATGGCAGAGAGAAGGTCATTGACATTCAGTGACACGTCACAAATCCCATCATGCTTTTCAAAGCCCGTGGAGAATGTCTCCTAGAGGCTAGACTCATAATATCTATGCGTGGGCTTCTATTTTGAGGAAGTCATTTGTGATAGCAAAAATAGATATGGAATGCGTGGAGATATATTACAGTAGAATCAAATAAAAACTTTCATCTATACAAAACTTTCGCAATTTTCGGGAGTTAAATACAAATTCGCAAAAGGTTTATGCCACAAAAACTACCTTGCCGAAAGTTTCAGGTTGTATTTTATTTCATTTTTATAATTTTGTTTGTTGTTGAGTGGTTGTGGGGAGTCTATGAGGAATGTAGCTACAGGTTCAAATGATGTTCATTAATTGGCTGAAATATTAGTGGCGTAGCTTTATTAACAAAACGAGACGAGTAACGAGGCTTGAGGCACCGACTATACACATAGTAGGCTAAAGGTCTAATTTTGTTCTCGTAACGTATAGTAGAATAAGACAAAGTTGGTAAAATAGACGTTGAGATTTCCATTTATTGACGTATTTGACGACGAAAAGTATGATGATTAGGTAATAATTACGAAGGTGGTGTTGATGGTGACAGGCTAAGATAATAACAATTGTGAAGAGCGTATTGGTGGTGGTTTGGTGCTGTTGTGAAGTTCAAATTAATAGTGAAAACGATAATTATGATCGTAATACCATGTGTGAATTGTTATGTCTCGATGATGCGAGTTTGAGAGGAAAAAAAAGTCCGGTATTTTCATCTCATTTTCAGCATGAATCGCAATGTCATCCCCACACCTGTCAAAATAGTCACCCTGAAGTGCCACACTTTCCTAGGTAAGCCTGTAGATGGCGCTCGACATATTAACCCGATTTTCGATCACTCAAAGCATAGACTCTGGGGCCCCCTCAGCTAACATCACTATTACGTAAAAATCGAAAGCATTGGATGGGATCATTGGTGGAAACGCCCCCGGTAAAGCCCATTTTGGCAGCCTATGCCCCCTTAGTTCCCCCCACCCCACCCCTCCCTTCAGCACTTTTCGACTGAAATGAGGAATCTTAAAATGTTTTTTTTTCGTCGACCTTCCTTGCTGGCTTGCTTTACAGAACATAAACAAAAATTATTCAGACACATATCTCCCCCCCCCCCCCACGACAAATAATCCTAGACCCGCCACTTCAGTGGATGATCTTTTTAAACATAAGTGGATGTAGAGTGTGATGAAAATAGATGTCGTTGTAATTTATCGTCTATGGAAAGCTTCAGGAAATTATATGTATGAAGATTTATGAGGCAGAAACGCTCCATAAAAATTGTTTTGCTACCAACATAAAAGTCGGTCGTCAAGTGCCTTGCATATGAAAGTGAAATAGAGGTTATAAATAGACAGAAGCCCGAAAGAGAAAATAAACATCCGTCTTTATGGAGTGATTAAAATGGTGTATTTATATTTCTGCATATATCATGTATCTGCTTCCGGCGGAATCGGACAATTATTTTGATGATGACGATGATGTAATACGTGAACAAACTTTTCAATGTAGGTCCAAATATTTTTAATTATTATTCCCTCTCCATCTCTCTGAAATGTTGTGCTTTGTCTATAATCTTTTCCTGCTCCTCATCTGCTTATTATTTTATTTGTTTGAAGCATAAAAATTGTTATTATTATCATTATATTATTAATATTTATTATTGTTTAATCATGGTAATAACAATCATTATTATTGCATTATTATTATCCTTACTTACTTTTATTATTACCATTACTAGTATTGTTATCGTTATTAGGCCTTTTATTATAATCATCATCATCAACACCACCATTATTATTATTATTATTATAATTACTTTTTTTGTTGTCATCATTATTCATAATGTTCATTCCTTTTCTCCTTTTCGAACCTTCCCTCTCACAGGAGGCGATGAAGCTCTCTCTTCAGCAGCACGATCACTTCGCCCAAGCTCGTTGTATGGGTGTCTTCGCTGATGTTCATAGAAACAGAGGGGACTGCGAGGTATGCAAAGAAACCCCCTTTTTAAATGATTCGAATAATTTCAAAGTTCATTTCAAAGATATAAAATTGCCCGCGTTCTAGAGGTAGAATGAATTAATTAACTTGGTTCGCCCAAGCTCGCTGTTTTGGTGTCTTCGCTGATGTTCATAGAAACAGAGGGGAATGCGGGGGTACGCAAAGAAACCCACTTTAAAAATGATTCGTTTTTCAAAGATATAAACCACCCGTATTATAGAGGTAATTAAGAGTGAACTAATTAACTTAGTGCAGTGGCCTACATTGATTCTTGTCCAGGTTAGTGTCCATGCCTTAAATCTTCGTGAAAATAAAATTAATTGAATTGAACAGACAGAAACCATTGATTTTTTTAAATTTTAATTATGTTACTACGGTGATTAGAGAGAGCACGAACAACCATCTAGAATACCAGTAGAGCAAGTTTAAGATTGATATAACGCTTACACTTAAAATGAACTCATATATGATAACTCTTTTTAATTCCTCATTTCGACATGACACCCTATGTCAAATAGGCATATTCTTTTACTTTTAAACAGGTAATTATTTCTTCGAAAACCACCCTGGTTTTTACTTTCTATCCGTCTAATCGTAGATCAAAATTCCTTTCGTACTTTATGATAGCCTTCAGTGAGTTTTGAATGATGCTCTGCCACACACACCGAAGGTGATAGGAACTTGACCCTTGACCTCGTGTACGTGACCTCCGATGACCTGCCGTCACTTTGTGCGAATTAGGATAAGTAACGAGTTTCTGTGACACAATCATTGGCACGACGACATACCAAATGGAATGCGACGTTTTTACAATGCTGGAAATTGGCTGTAAAACCAGAAACCTTGAGATAAATTATTGCTTCGAGTGTGTGGCGAAGTTTCACAAAAGTATTAGCATACTTCTGTTGCGAAATGGTTTGCAGACACTATTGATTTTCTTCGTTGCTTTTCACTGCATGGAGATACTCTTCCCGAAAATACCCTTCCTTATTATATCGTTGATAAAAGTTTATGCTTTACCGGGAGCAACCCCCCCCCCCCCCCCCCCCCCCTGCCGATGAAAAGTGGCAATATATCCGATTGACGGATGTGAAGATTTTAAATTGTTATGACACAATGCTCAATAAATATGCAAGAGCTTTTAGGTAAATGTTCAGTAAATTAATAAGCTAAGAATCTTGTCAGTATATTACTTTTTTTTGGGGGGGGGGGCAGGGATTTTGCTCGGATGGTCTATTATGCATGTTATGAGTAGGCCTATTCTAAACCCCATCTTTCTTTTAGGTCTATTTCTCCTTTTAGCAGTACACTCTTGCATAATATTTTCATTCATATTTTGATCGCCAAAAATGTATTCTTTAAATTGACATATTGCAATATAGAGGAGACGCGGTGGCTTAATAGTAGAGCAGTGGTCTCATAACCCGGAGATCCCGGTTTCGAAACCAAGTCGATGCGCTAAAGCCCTTTGCTAATGTATAAATCCTCATAACCAAGCCCCTGGAGATGACTTAAAGCCGTCGGTCCCCTATAGTTGCTTACTTACAAGCATACGCAAGCTTTCTTAGCAGTCAGGTAAAACAAACCATCAAAACAAGTTCCATTTGACGTTTGAAGAACTGATACTCCGACGTTTTTATATGGGTCTGGCACATGTGTTGTATCCAGATGTTCCATCTGCTCCAATCACCTAGATCCCAAGATTTCCGAGTTTAAATCCAGGTTTATGCTTTGACTAGAATGTTCGTAGGATCTGTGTCAAGCTGCGGATCCACACAGGGAAGGAGTTACATGATAGGTTGAACATGGAAAACTGAATGGAGTTGGACTTGTCGCTTAATTGATGACATATTCGTTTGACATTTTGACAACATACTCGCGTAGAGGAAATATGTTCCACATGACTTTCAGATGGGGGGGGGGGGGGTGACTTTGTATGTGTTTGATTTTTTTTACTCTGTTTATTGCCATTTTATATGATGCTGGTGATAGGTTGATATCATCACATTCGGAAGCGGTTGAGCACGAATTGTTTGTGCTATGTCGGATAAGATTTCCGACGATTATTTAAAAGTATAGACCAGTTCTGGTCATGCGATTGCATTGTGAAAGAAACGTTGTGGAATCGATCAGAAAAGTTTGATCTTCTAGCATATAAGTATTGGTGTGTACTGTAAGGTTCTGGAATCATTAAAATGATACGAAATGTATGGGACTACATGATATCTATCCAGTCCGGAAAGATATAATAATTTACCAAATATATCAATTAGTAGGCGGTTTCCCGGCAAAATTGTATCAACACGTATTAGTCAAAACATGTTCTTTCACATGATTGGTAATACGAGCTTCCATTTTATTTTTTTGAGAGGGGGGCGTTTCCGAAACTGGTCTATACCTTTAAAAGCCCACTTTACAAAGACATCAAACAAATCTTGGAGAATTTGAGAGCGAAATGGCCATTATCTGGTCCATTACCTTATCGCGTCTTCTTCTTTCGTTATAGAAAAAACTTTACGATAAACGACTATCTGGTATCTGGCATGATTCGCAGAGGGGCAATGATAATCCACACCAGTGGCGTATCCCCCGGGGTCACATGGGTATCCCCCCCCCCCCCGCGCGCTCATGGCGAACAAGAGGGACACAAATAGAGAAAAAAAGGGGAAAAGTATCTTGAAAGAAGAGGGCATTATTCTTCTAATGCCCTGCTATGAATGGCCACCTCCCTGCCGCAAACTATACTGTTGCCCCCTAAAGTTGGTATATCTTCTCGAAACTTCATTGAGCATTGTAAAGGATCATGATCCGAAGCCCCCACTAGTACCAGGGAGGAAGGGAGATAACTTGACATGAGTGACCGGTGTGTCAATTTGGTTACCAAACCCAACCAAAACCAAAACCAACCAACCCAAGCTACACTATAATTTTGAAAAGGTGTTATCCATTATTAAACAAATTGAGGATGATCATATCTGTTTTGGATTATAATCAATAGAATTTGAAATTGAGCCCGTGCCCTCGCAAAATTTAAAAAAAAAAAAAAAAAAAAAAAAAAAATCTTAAAAAACATGCACCCCTACCCCATTAGAGAATCTTGGAACCAGTGCACCGCCACTGATGTCAGTGAGAGAGATAGATAGATGAGATAGATGAGTGACCGGTGTGCCAATTTGGTCAAGTTAGCGGCCAATTGAAATTGTCCAGAGTGTTGGCATCCCAGATGTCAAAAGTTATTTGCAGAACACAAGTGCAAGTTGATGTGTTCAGCATGTAGGCGGTACTGGCATGTTAACGGGAGGAGTTGACACAAAAATAATGATATCATAATCGTAGGGTAGATGTTATAAAGTAAGCGCACTCAGATGTATTTCGGTCAGAGAGTTTTTATTATGCTTTATTTGTTCGCTCTACCTAAATCCTGGACTATGTTTCTGATTGGAGCAAGAAGGCCTTAAACTCGTGTAATTTGACATAGTTTTAACGCCCTTCGGGCTATAAACAGTTGTTATTATTATTTTCTTCGAGACAGGATTGAGAGAAGGGAGGGGCTTCCTCTTGCCATTCCAATATCTCTCTCTCTCTCCTGTATCATGATATTCAATTTAAAAATACTTTTTGTTTGATTCTTCCAAGTTTTCTGACTTTTCAACTCTTATGCCTGTTAAATGAAAAATAAATTATATCATCGAGGGGCTACCCGTGAAGAAATTGGAATTGGGAAGGGGGGCTGTCTGACCAAATTGGTTAACGAATAAGCTAGTTTATCCCCCCCCCCCCCCTAACAAACAAAAAAATAATAAATAAAAACCGCCCTCCTACCTATCCGTGCAACAACAACAAAACAACAAAACAAAAACAAAATTGCCTACAGAAAACATTGGATGGGTGTGTCACCCCTTCTGTTCTCATTGGTGTTATTTGTGTTTTCTCTTGTCTTTTCTTTGTAAACGAAATTGCTGTAAAACAGCCCTGCGACTGAAGGCAGATGTTTTGTTCAACACGATGTTGAAATAAAACAACAGCAGCAAATCTCATCCATTATTTTGTTAACTTCTTTCAAAAGAAATCCCTTATCCATTCTATATATATGTTCTCCCTTTGTGTGCATCCGATCAACTTCTTCTAAGCTGGATCTGAAGAAGAAAATGGGTCAGACGTTGAAGTTCACATGCCCGCATATCGGCGCTATCTAATGACAGAATTTTATGACCGCGGCCAGCTGTGAATATGGCAGTGCACTATGTGCAGCGATACAGCATTGAGCACGCAGTGAACATGGGGTTGCAATGGTCACTGTCATAGCTGCTTGGGAGACAGAGTTGCGTCACCGAAAGTTGCTTATGATGTAGATTTCTAAACAGAATTGGTCAGTCATTCGTGGAGCCTCAGATGAGTCCATCCCGTAGAGATTGCGCGTGGGAGGGAACTATTTTGAGCTCAATGATTTAAAGATAGAGCTGAATTCTGATCGCCAAATAACATTGTGGAAGAAACTGTCTGATAGCAGTTAGAGAACTGGTACATACGAATTCTGGTATACTGTGATGACCTGAAATGATAAATTGCTAAGGACTGACTCGAAAAGAGGACTACGCATACATGTGTGTAACATTAATGTTTATATTCATATTTCGAATATGAGAGCATTTTGAAAAGCATGAAAAAGCATTCCTTTTCAGGGGACACTTCCAAGATATTCTTTCAATCTAGTATAAAGAATATTTGTGAAATCTCAAAACTTAGGCCTATTTTTCACCTTTGCCCGAACATCATTATGACCTCGTTCGCGTGTCACAACTATTTCTCTCAATACGCTTTGGTCACGGACTCACGGTATGTCCGTTTGTTTATCTTCCGATTTCTTGATGGGTTGAGTGAAGTCGGGAGATGGTTTGTTGGGATGGCTTCTGTTTGGGTCAAGACAGCTGGAAGGATGGTTTACTCTTCTAGAAGGAATGGAGGGGTTTTAAAGGTATATTTCTAGAGGTTAGGAGTATCCAACGTTGGGCGGACAACCTCCACCCCAACTCTTTTTCAGCCATAGGAAATCAGGCAAAACAACTTTTACAAAATAGAAGACGCAATCGGTATTAAATTTTCTTCTTTTCGGTAACCTCTCCTCACTGTTCATATTTTGTTAGGCCATAGGGCCTTCCCCGACCCACAACCACATACACAAATTTGTTCGGTTGGTTGGTTGGTTTTACCTGACTGCTAAGAAAGAATGTGTATGCAAGTAAACAACCAGGGTACCGACGGCTTTAAGCTGTCTCCGATGGACCTGGTATTGAGGATTAATGCCTTACAAAGGGGCACTAGCGCATCGAAATCGTTTCGAACCCGGGAACTTCCGGTTACAAGACCCCTGCTCTACCACTGAGCCATCGTATGGGCGTAGGCCTATCTGAAGAAGATGTGAAGTTAGCCACAAACGAACGTAGTACGTTCAGCTTTTTGTCTAGTTATCTCGGGTATTTACTTGCTTGAATATATACCGCCCATAACAAGAGCCGTTGTGGTGTCGCTGACACAGGTGTATTTCAGCTATGTGAGTGACGCCGTAGCTTCGGCGGTAAAGTCCCGTAGGAACCCGCTGAGATAACCTTTTTCATCATCGCTAGACCCCCTGGCGCTCGGTGAATTCCAACCTGGGCTGGCCCGCTGAGCGCCTGTCCAACTACCGTATTACTACTATCATGACTACAAGGATTGTCTCGACTGGCATGGGCATGCAATGCAATCCCTGAGCCTCCTCTTTTCTGTTTCTTTCTCTCTCTCTCTCTGTCTCTCACTGCTTATCTTTCTTGTAATCTTGACATTTCTACATTTACACTGTCTACTACATGACTTGTTTCTTTTATCCATATATCGCCCTCTAAGCCCTCTTTCTGTCCAATCCCTCCAATCTATCTCTCTAGCTCACTATCTTTCTACATGCCTATCTATCATTCATCTACCTATTCCCTTCTTCATTTTGTGTCTTTCTCTCGCTCTCTCTCTCTCTCTCTCTCTCTTTCTCTCGCCCCTTCCCTCCTCTCTAGCTCACTATCCTTCTTGCAGGCCTATCTATAATTTATACCTATCATTCCGTTCTTCATTCTGTTCACTTTGATCTAGTTTTTAAGTTGTTTTAGTTCTCTTATGGTATGTTGTTTATATAATGTCTTTGTTTTCTACAATGTATTCTATTTTTTGTAAATCTTTGTATGTACAGGGCTCTTTTGTAAAGCAGGCCTCTGGCACTGAAAAGACTACCCTGTTTTTAAATAAAACTGAATAAATAAATAAATAAATAAATACATAATTCTATATCTCTCTCTTTCTATCAAGCTTGCTCTCCTTCATACAGGCCTATCTACAAGTCATCTACCTATCATTCTGTTCTTCATTTCATCTCTTTCTTTCATCCCCGCTCTCTCTCTCTCTCTCGCTCTCTCTCTTTCCCCCTCTTCCTCCCCTCCCCTCTCCCCTCTTTCTCTCTCTCTCTTTTTCTTTCCTTCTCCCTTCTCTCTCTCTCCCCTCTCCTCTCTTTCTCCCTCACCCCCTCACTCCCTTTCTCTCTCCCCCTTCTCTCTCCCTTCCTCCCCTCTCCTTCTCTCTCTTTCTCTCTCATTCTCTCAACATCTCACTGTCTTCCATCTGTCACGTCTCCAACAACTCTCTGCATGATATGAAATGTGTATGTTATCGTTAATGAAGTGTTTATCCACGATAACGGTCGACATAATGATTATTAGAGAGCTGGATATCTGTGTTTACATGCCTAAGTGCACTTGCTTGTAAACATTATCAGGCTGTATTCATTTCCTACAAGAGGTACCAGCAATTTGATTGATATAGTTCGTTTAGTTTGAACTATTAACCCGTTGTCTATTGGAACCTGGTGGTCCCCGCATTAAGCCTACGGGACTTTGAATAAGCAGTAGTCAAAGGGGTAAAATAATGCCTCAATGTCGTTTTTCTCTTTCTCTCCTGTCTGCCTCGCCTCTCACTTTCTCTCTCTCTCTCTCTCTCTCTCTTTCTCTCTCTTTCTCTCCCTTATATTATTGTATGAATATGATGTACGTAAAGATTCATAAGACATTTTGTTTTTTGGTGATTTTACTTTGTAAACTCCGTTTAATTCAGCCCTTGGGCTGCCATAATTTATGTGTTGTTTAAATAAATACCATTTCAATTCATTTCAATACAATTCATTATACTCAATGTGTATATCTACCAGGTAGAATAGACTGGAAAAGGTATATACTTGACTAATCCTCACTTCACCTGTCGAAGCAAAAGATGGTAGAGAGTTAGTCAAGGCCTACGTAATATTCTTATTCCAGAGCCAGCTCATCATTATTCTTGTGGTGAAATGATAATTGACTATTATCTTACCTTATGAATAATTGATAATAATATCCTATTCTCCTTCCAAATCTCGCTCTCCCTTTCTCTTCTCTCACTTTCTCTCTCTCTCTCTCTCTCCATCTGTCTCTCTGTCTACCCCTCTTCCTTCTCTATCTCCTCCTCTTCATCTTCCTCCCCCTCCACTTTCCTCTACCTTCTACATTATTTTGACTACAGAGGGCGTTTCCTAGATACGAGTCTGCGTTGAATCTGATGTCTGATATTGGTGATCGCTATGGTCAGATTATCGTTCTTGCCGGGATGACCAAAGCATTGATTCATATGAAGCAACCCGAGAAGGTAATGAGAAGGTATTTACTTTTTAGGCCATCTCCTCTCCCTGCTCCTCATTCACCTCTTTCGCCCTTTATCAATATTTCTTCTTTCTACTTTTCCTTATTCTCCTCTTGCTCTTTCTCCTACCTATCTTCCTCTTTTTCCTTCTATTCCTCCTCATCATTTCCCATCCTTCTTTCCCATCCCTCTCCCCCCCCCCATCTCAACTTACCCCCCCCCCCCCTATTCATTCCTCTCTCGACCCCACCTATCTCCTGCTACTGCTTTCCCTTCTTCCCGCTCGCCTCGTGATTTTCCTCCTCATGACTTTGAAATGAATTGAATAAATGAAACCATCAGATTTGGTGGTGTAAAGCTATACAAATCTACCTAATCTTGTTAGTCATGTCGTGTAGACCAATACCAGGAACCTGTTTCATAAAACTTGTTGTCAGTAACAACTTCCACAGATCTATGACAGATCTGCTCATAGCCAATCAAATGCCAGGATTTCAGTAGCTTATAACAATGATCGTACCTTATTCCTGATAACAAGTTTTATGAAACAAGGGCCTGATCCATCAAACTGACCATTAAAATAATCGCATTTTCATGTATCACTTCTCTACTTCATCTGCTAGGGTCAGTTTAATATCAGTGCGGGATAAATGTAATTCATTTTAATATTTATGTCTTATTTTTCAATCAACAGGCAATAGACTTCTGCAACAAAGCAATGGAAGTCGCAACTAGTATTGGCAATAAGGTAAGTTTAAATCATATCATTTAGCGCGAAATGTTGTCCGTATGTGGAAATCCGTGCACCATTTACGGCTTGCAAAGTAAGGGATAAGACCTTAAGTTTGTATGTTTTGGTTGGGGGAAACGGATATGGCGGCACCCGTGTCAACCAGGAATTTCCGTCCGGAATTAAGGTCATTGATTTAAAAACAAAAACAAAAACAGGCGACTATCCGGTTGACAAGTCGAGATCGTCGCTCCAACTCTCTGGTCTGCTAGTTTCCCTGCTCTGAATAGCGTTTGCAGGGTGTTCTACAGTGACGCGCGTTGTCCCCGCAGGTAACATAGTACCAGATCGGCTGCGGATGCGAAAGCGTTGAAGTCGCACCATGCACGATAGTCTATACAACTCTAACCAGCTTGGTTAATTCAAAAACCTGCTTTGCTACATCAGAGGTTCGAGCAGAAGTGGTTCTAAAAGTTGCATTGGTCGGTACTACCGTGTTAATCGAGGGCACGTGCACCTCGACAACCATAATTGGTAATCCACAGGTCTCGATTCGATATTCAACAAATTATCTATGGCAATATATACGCACTATATATAATATTTAGCAGTAATAGCAAGAAAATGGAGTATCAAAATATCGAGTAAGCGACATTCACACCGTACTGGCAGCGTAATGGAAAAATAAGTGCCGAAATATGATGATACAATCTTCTCCGTGAGATCACGTCGGGGTCACCAATTTGTAGAACTCCCAGATGGGTTTTTTTTTTACTTTTCTCTTTACGATCTCACGTGAAATAACCACACTATCAAGCAACGAGGTTGTACAATTGAATATCGGCGATATAATATATGAACAATTAACACAATAATAAGCGGGAACTTCAAAAGGGATTACGAAACTCACCTCTAGGTTAATCACCGTCAGCAAAAAAGTTCCCAAAAAATGGATCAACTCAAATCAGCACCCTCGGCGAAGTCAGAAATGATGATGCTGACTATGCATGGCAGCAATGATGTCCATGTTGATGACGAGGACGATGATGACGGCGATGATGATGAGGGTGATGATGACGGCGATAATGTCGTTGATGTTGGTGTCGGTGACGATGTTGATGAAACAGTCAATATACTAATTTTATGATGGTGTCGTCATGTCGATGACATTGAAGATGATGTGGTGATGACGATGACGATAGAATCAACGAGTCAGCACAACACAACCGATGACGGCCATTGAAAAGACAGATGTGAGAATACGGCAAGATCTAGATAATGACGACTTAATCAATGAAAGATTTATTAAACAAATTGCCGTTAGAGTTGTCAAAAATAAATCTTGCAAAATGCAGGTCGTGGTGCAAGCAAGTCCACCGCCAGAGGTTGCCGGGACAAAGTCGTTCGAGTCCTCGGACGAAAATTCGACCATCAGGATAAACACAACACAGTATAAACAGTCAGAGTGTACCGATACAAGGAATAACCGTCTGGTGCTCACGTGGTGAGAAGAGCCCAATGCCCAAATCACCACAGCGGCGTGATTGGTTGAAAGTAATCTGAAACACGCGTATACAATTAATATGTATGTATACGCGCTGTACGGAACAATAGCAAATCTACGTCACAAAAGAATATATTAACGAACCAGACAGAACCGGTTTGGACATGTCTGCAAAGCCAGACAGGCAGAGTCGGAAAAAACGCAAGAGAAATTAGGTCTCCTTAGTAGCCATTTTGAAAATGGAAAGGCAATACATATTAAATATGTACATACGAATCAATGCATACAGCTTTTAAAAAGTTATTACCCATGCTAAACTAAAGTAATGTACAATTTAAGCAAAAGTTTAAAAACGTGACATTTGGTCACTACAGTTCAAATCGATTCATATCTTAGTTGTGCATGCTGAGGCCGGTCTAAATTGACATTGATAACACGATTTAATAATTAATGATTTATCTTTGTTGTAGATGTGCATGCTGCGATCGAACTGGACCCTTCATACGCTGTACAGAGCCATTGGAGATATGACGTCATCGCAGCAACACGCCTGCAAGTTTGACCAGTACCTACAAGAGATGGAGCTCTACTGTGGTGTGTGTCACGAGGTGATGGGCAACAGAGAGAACAGTCTCAATAGTCTCACGTGCTTCCACATATTTCATTCAAGGTTTGTTAGAAGGGTGTGTCCGTAGGGGTGTGTCCGTAGGGGTGGGGCTCTACTGTGGTGTGTGCCACGAGGTGATGGGCTACAGAGAGAACAGCCTCAATAGTCTCAAGTGCTTCCACATATTTCATTCAAGGTTTGTTGGAAGGGTGTGTCCGTAGGGGTGGGGCTCTACTGTGGTGTATGCCACGAGGTGATGGGCAACAGAGAGAACAGTCTCAATAATCTCACGTGCTTCAACATATTTCATTCAAGGTTTGTTAGAAAGGTGTGTCCGTAGGGGTGGGGCTCTACTGTGGTGTATGTCACGAGGTGATGGGCAACAGAGAGAACAGTCTCAATAGTCTCACGTGCTTCAACATAGAGAACAGTCTCAATAGTCTCATGTGCTTCCACATATTTCATTCAAGGTTTGTTTGAAGGGCGTGTCCGTAGGTGTGGGGCTCTACTGTGGTGTGTGTCACGAGGTGATGGGCAACAGAGAGAACAGTCTCAATAGTCTCATGTGCTTCCACATATTTCATTCAAGGTTTGTTTAAAGGGCGTGTCCGTAGGTGTGGGGCTCTACTGTGGTGTGTGTCACGAGGTGATGGGCAACAGAGAGAACAGTCTCAATAGTCTCATGTGCTTCCACATATTTCATTCAAGGTTTGTTTAAAGGGCGTGTCCGTAGGGGTTGGGCTCTACTGTGGTGTATGTCATGAGGTGATGGGCAACAGAGAGAACAGTCTCAATAGTCTCATGTGCTTCAACATATTTCATTGAAGGTTTGTTAGAAGGGCGTGTCCGTATGGGTGGGGCTCTACTTTTGTGTGTGCTACGAGGTGATGGGCAACAGAGAGAACAGTCTCAATAGTCTCATGTGCTTCCACATATTTCATTCAAGGTTTGTTAAAAGAGTGTGTGTTCGAAGGGGGTGGTTGTTAGGGTGGGGCGTGGGTGGGGAGGGGTGAGGATGTGAGCTGTTGGACGCTTTGGAGGGGAGGGAAGTCGGTGATTGGGATGTTATAGTATTCTGTTCTTTAGGGTGGTGATGATGGTGATGGTAGTATAAGACTATTGGAAGTAGTCATGATTAAGAAGGACTTGCTAATTGTTATGAGAATGTAGATGTTGCTGATGAATGTGTTGTTGTTGGTGGTGATGATGATGGTGGGGGTTGCGATGGTGGTGGTTATTATGTTGCAAGTGGTATTGTATTGTTGCAACAGCTCTATTGTTATCACTTAGCCAAGAAACTCTAACAAGTCATTTCTTCTTTCTTTTTGTTTCCTTTCTATCATGGCATTCTGCAGGTGCGTGGAGAATAGCACATTCAAGACGAGAGGCTGTCCAAACTGCAAGAAGACTTCCCACCTCTCATCGCCGGTACCAGTATAGCATCATCCAACAGGGCTCTGCACCCCTCAGAGAGGTGTAAAGATCACCCCCCCCCCCCCCCCCTCTTCCACCACTCTCACTTCTACCACTATCTCTTATAGTAAACTGTGTTAGCAATCGTCACTTTGGTGGATCTCTTGAAGAAGACTTCGCACCTTTCCTCCACGGTTACGGTGTGGCATCATCTACGGTTACGGTGTAGCATCATCCGACAATCCAGGAGTCCCTCAGAGGGGTGTAAACTTTGACTTTGATATATACCTTGAAACAACTGGGAATGAATACCATAATGCAATGATGATGAAAATGTTATTCATTATGGTTTTGCACATAACAAAATTATTTAAAATTTCAACGAGCACATTAGCCTGACGTTTGCTCCTTTCGCCATTATAGACTCAAATGACATAAGAACGAATTGCACAATGTTAGTGCACCTTCTCTTAAGAGGGAAAAAAAATCGATAAAATAAAATGCTTTCTCGTAAAGATATACTCACTGCGCCCTGAGCCCCTGTTGCATAAAATTTACTATTGATGGTAAACTTTGCCATCAATGTCAACTACCATGGTAACAGGGCTCAACAGCCAATAGAAATCAAGGTTTTCATGGTAGTTACCATTGGTGGCAAAGTTACCATCAATGATAAGTTTTGTGCAACGGGGTCCAGGACTTGAACCCTAAACTTCTCGACTGGAAGTCAATTGCATGAAACAGTAGGCCTACACAAAACTACACAACAATGCTCGTACAGAATAAATTTCCCTTTACTTTGTGAATCTTGAGATATCAATATGGAATCATTCTTGGTGGGCGCTAAAGCCTCTCCGACATTTATAAATATGCTTGGGAAAGGGGGTGGGAGGTATCGTACCCCAAAAAGTAAAAACAAGAATTCAGCTTAATTATGAATATACCCGTCAGATATGATACTTATTACTTTATGCATTTCGTATTTGCACGATGCACAAACCTATGCTACTGAATATTTTTGCCGCCGTTTAAATTTGTAAATAGACAAAGCGATATTAACATTTTATTTACATTTGTTTGATATGACTTGTAAAATAAAGCTATGTATTTAGTGTAAATCATGAGAACATATTTTATACGCAATTGTACTACTACTATTGTTATTATTATGCAAAGTATTATCGAAAGTGCTATGTACAAAAAGAAATAAGCTAGATCATCTATAAGGTGACATAAAATTAATGTATGCGTAATGTTGCTTATAGCTAGGCATGATGTAGTATTGAGGCTTTATGCTTTACGTTTAACTCTTTCAGCACAATATTTATTTCTCGGGCCTAATTGATCACATAATGTTCTTCAAATTGGCAACAAAAATACTGTTCTTTTATTGCTACATTGTTAAAATGAACTGAAATGAGTCTGAAATCAATATACATGAGCGCAAATTTTGGTCGGAAAACAATAACATTGATTCTCTCAATGTTTTACTGATTTAGAGATATTAAAGAGAACTTTTCTCTATATAAAGTCCTGGCATGAAACGCATTATAGCAGTGAAATTTAAAAAAATGGATGCAGTGTATGCAGAAACTGTTGTCCTTTCTACTCAAGCGTCTTGCATATTTGATAAGGCTGTAAATCAAATATAGAACCAAACTGTAAACTTGTTAGTGATAATAACTTTTATGAAGTGGGGTCTGGAGTCGTATCGTTTTAGTGTTATCAATTCTGTTGCTATGTTTCCATAGGCTTTAATGTCGCCGATAAAATTGCGGTTCTTTATTTTTCCCTCTTGACTATGTTGTTTAGAATACTTCAAATGTAAAAACGGACAGTGTTCGAAGTTATGTATTTTTTTCTCTTTCGTGTATTTCAATTGCTATTTTTTCTTTCTTGTATGCCATGTATCCTTGTTTTTACAATGAATGTATTTTTTTTCTTTAGGATATATGTATTTTTTCTTTACAACATATCATTTCAGTATTTGCATGATTACAAACTCGCACCACTCACGACCTCGTATTTATAAGTTCAGATTTCCTTGTTTTTCACTACGCATGTACACGCCCGCCATTGGGATGTTGTTGTTTTTTTTGGTAAAACTTATCATTTGTATTCAATATTGTGTCAAAGCTTGCATGTTTAGATTATTATCAAAGACGAAAGAAATGAGAAGGCGGATATCTGAAATGGGGAAGGAAAATGATAAGTGTTGTTTTATTAACGCCACGTAAGCTCACTCTAATACGCCCTTTTCGTAATGTAACCAAATTTATTTTTTCCTTGATTACGATTACGAATTCACCTGTTACGAATAATTGTATTTCAGTAATCAGAATGCACACTCCATATATTGCATGTTGCTAGGTACAGCAAGCCATAGTCTTTTTCCTACCTAGCAACAACTGATTTATGCTATTTGAATTCTGACTAGTGAGATACATTTATTCGTATAATTCGTATCGAAGCGCTTCAGAAAGGTATATTCATAAATTTGGTTACATTACGAAAAGGGCCTATTGGCAAACCTCTACTGTTTACTTTTAAAATTTGATTCTTATTTTGTTATCATTGTTATTCTTGTTATTCTTATTTATTAATAGGGGAGGGTTGCGGAGATTTATTGTTTTCAAAACTTCTTTTCATCGTAACAAGACTATTGTAGCCTGTTTCATGACACCCCTCCCCATAACGTCTTCTGTGTGTTCAGAATTTCCTTTTATCAAATAACACGATTGTAAACACTTTGACAAAATCAAGCGCCATTTTAATACCCTTGCCAAAGGACATTAATGACGCGGCTGGGACTCGAACCACGAACCATGTGATCCACAATCCGGCGACGTGTCCACTGGACCACGACACCTCTACATAATGATTGACTTGGCCATTAAAGTTGCCTTGGCTTAATTTGTCATAGGTTTTTGCGACCGTGTTATTCATTGCGCCTATAAACGGCAAACATTTGTTTTATTTGAGTACGTATGAGATAAGTATATGTCATGGATTAGAGAAGGATGATTCTATCCGAGGAGTGATATACTGAATAGATTTCTTTGAACAAAATGTCATATCTTGCCAAATTCATAATTGAGCGATTGGAAAAGAGGTATATATATTTTTGTGCACCGTTTTGCTAATACAGTATATGTTTTAAGAATTATATATGTATTTTATTTGCGCTTTGCTAGTTGCCAATTAAGATACTGGACGATAAGCACTGATTGATTAACAGTATAAAATACGACCAATAATGATAGATAATTAAATAATCAACATGGATTAGCCATTAACTGATGAATGCAGTTATATATATTATATTACATGTCTTAGTATCGTGCACAACCACTACTATGAAGAGAAAATGAGATACACAGCAAAGGGTAGACTAATCTATTGGTTCCGAAACTAATTTTCTTTAAGTAATCTCCCTCCAAAACATCTCATACTTCTGGTCCCGGCTTTATACAAATCTACTGGATTGAATCCAAGTTCAGATGGCACTCTAATTATATCGAACCTTACTCTATTAGTTTCAAAACTGTTTGAAATTGCATAAAGACATAGCTAAAATCCTGTATCAAAACCTTTAAGAGAGGTGTCGCAAAACAATGCATAATTTATTGCAAATTTCGAAATCTTGGCAATGCTAACATTATTTTTGCCCTGCTGCGCCAATGTGAAACGCTACCTATTGCGTAATTTATTGTCATCAATTTCCCGCCAATATGTCTCTATTGATACCGATGCTGTACCCGACTGAATATGTATTACCATGCCTGATTGTCTGTTCCGACGCAAAATTGATTACTTTTTCGTACCATAGATATTAAAATGTACTTGTATTATTTATTTGTAGCTCGTTGCCGAGGATTGGCATTTGTAAATCTCACTGAAAATAAGATTCAACAGCACAATGTCGTTAAGAATTAATAAATTGAATACTGTAAAACAAGATAAGATTGACGTAGATTGTCATTTATTATGCGTCATTACTCTGCATGAAATTGATTTTGGGCTGCTAGGCTACGGCCTAGAGAGCGACAACCCTCGAGAACGACAGCGAACGAGACTGACAGCCCATTAGACCGACAATCTTAGTCGGTCCGTGGTCATTTTCAAATGTTATCTGGGGATAAATTCGCGAAACTTCTCTGAGGTCATAGTAGACACCGGCATATTCGGTCTTGTTGGCTTTCGTTATAGTGGGTTGTCCGGTCTACTGGTGTGTCTCCGGACATAAATTATTGATATCAGTTAAATTACCAATGAGGTGGGGGTCATCCTCAAATGTAACATCAACACATCAATCACTATGGGGGGGGGGGGGGGGCATTGTCCTCAAGGAAGCATACAAAATAGTCGAAGAAAGACAATAGTCGTAATGGCGTTGCGTGGACGGTAATCTGCAGGCAAAAGCAATTGGGGCCATTTACCCTACAGCATCAGCAACAGCGTCTGTCTGTCCACAAGATAATGACACAGACTCGTCTATGCTCGACTTGCTGCCGGCTACTTTCACTTTGTGTACATGTGTGGTTGCAACACTTCAACCACACACTCTACAATTGTTGTAGTGCTTTGCAGATTGTTGTCGGTCTTCGAACACGTCTGTCTGTAACATATCCGTTAGCGGCAAGAAGCACGTCTCTTCTGGTGTTGCCGAGTTTTGTTAGTCTGTTAGAAAGGATGCCTGTAACACAATGGCAACAAAACTTCATCTGATGGTGTAGTAAATACATTGTTTTCAGTCCATTTTTGTCTGCAACATGGCAGCAACAGACCCTTTTCTCTTTAAGACGTAGTTTGCTGCCATGTAATCTTTGTACATGTCTTTCTTGCAACAAATCCCTTTCTTCCGGTAACACTGAAGATTGGTGTCAGTTGTTACTTGTTATGCCTACTTGTCTGCAACATCAATGACAACGAACTCCTCTGGAAATGGTTGGTGTAAACTATGCTAAATCCTTGAACATGTCTGTCTGCACTCTGCAACAAGATGGCATACATATCCAAATCGTCTAACCATATTGCACTGTTCTGTCAGTCTTTGTACATCAGTCTGTCAGCAGCGCGATATCAAGAATAAAGGTTGCCAGTGTTTGTCCCCTGATTGTCTTCCACATGACGGCAACAGTGTTTGTCCCCTGATTGTCTTTCACATGACGGCAACAAACTCGTCTCTCTACAATACTTTGTCGAAAGGTATACTCATTCTTTGAACATGTTTGTCTGCAACATTACGGCAACAAACTCGTCTCTGCTGAGAGTGTTGTCACCACTGCTGCTTGCCTCTTCGATCATCTCTTTGATCATACTGTCGCTGACTTTGACCCCGACTTCCTTAGCAACCAGCTTGAGGTCATCGGTTGTCAAGCATCCTTTCTTTCCTGATTAAAGGTTAGAAGACATAAATGAAAATAAAAACGAGGTATGGACTTGATATATCTATATATTAAACATGTATTGTATCGTTTTGTATTTATTAAACTTCATTGATGTACATCAATATTCTGTTTATAAGCTTTAAATCAAACGATATTATTTTGCAAAATTTCACTCTCTCTCTCTCTCATTGTTCATGTCTTTGTCAGATATGTTGATATTTCCATGTGTCTCTTGACACTGTATAATCTTTTACTCCTGGGCCCCCGTCTTACAAAGAGTTGCGATTAATCCAAATCAATCGCAAATTTGGAGTCTCCTATCTCTTATGTACATAGCTGCGATTGATATCAATCGCAAATAAGTTGTGATTGATATCAACTCTTAAAAGGACGGGGCCAAGATGTCTTCTTTTTTTCATATCGAGCATGTCTAGCTCCCCTGTCCCGCGGTCCTTTCCCTCCCAAATACATCCTGAAACCCTTCACAACATTCTCGCTCATCATTAGTGGACCCTATGAAAAACAGCACTCGTGCTGGTAAGGGTGTACCATCCCACAAGTGGTCAACAAATAGATAAAACCAATCAATCAATAGATAAAAATAAAATCATACCGACTTCAACTTTGCTTACCGTAGTCCATCATGTCGAAGCCCTGATGTATCTCACCGTAGATATCCCTTGAGTCGCCCTGTCGGTGAGCGACCAGCTCAACGAAGTCTGAGAAACTCACCTCACTGTAGTCGCAATGACGATAAGAAATAAAGAAAAACTAAAATATGTCGACTGGATTGAAAAAGAGGACCGGGCCCTGTCTTACAAAGAGCTAAGATTGATCCAATCAATCGTAAGTCCTCCAATCAATCGCAAGTTAGCAGTCTCCTATCTCTTAATGTACATAGTCGCGATTGATATCAATCGCAAAAAAGTTGCGATTGATATCAACTCTTTGTAAGACGGGGCCCTGATCTTACTTTTTAAAGGAGTAATAGGCCTTACATATTTCATATTCATATTCATATTTATTTCATTTCCAACCGAAAGGTAAACAAAGATATTACATTTTATTATATTACAGTTTATTACATAACTGCAAGGAAAAGGCGCTATATCAAATATCTTTTGGATTGGATTGGATACATAATTCATTTTTTCAAGAAACTATACAAATACACATAATATCAGACCAATTCGACAATGGAAGCTCCTTTTAATTTATCTACACAGGTTTAAATGAGGGAAATCAACTCGGACTCAACTTACAAACACAATTGAATTGAATTTACTTCGAATAGAATTTGTTCACCAATTTAAAAACAAACCATGCAAAGGTCAATTAATACAATACAATATTTTCTCACAGATATGGATTAGACAATAACATGGAAAATACACTAAAGGAAACAAGGAAGTTGTTGGATTATCGGCAGATGATCCTACACGAAATGCAGAAACTCACACAAAAAAGAGAGACAAATAAATAATTAAATAATAATTGCACACATAAAAAAGTGCATTTGTCAAATTCGTTTTTGCTAGCTGTTGCTATTTGTCTATGTCATAGCATAAAAAGTATTCAACGAATAACGCATCTAAATAAAACAAAACTACTATACCACCTCTAAGATTAAAAATCCTTTTATTTACTAACCCTATTCGTCGGCCAATGTCCGCTGGAAAAAGGGAGGATAATTGATTATTTACAAGTAGATTATCGAAGAAATAAAACGCAATTTAGGGTTAAAAAATTTATATAAGTTTTACTTTTTTATTAACACCAGCGAGAGATCCAACAGTTTGAAATGGATTAGGTTTACTTCATCTGAAGTTATAACTTTTATTGAATTGGGCTACTGGCCCATATCTTTTGAGTGATATTCATCATCTTTATATGTATTCGTTCTTAATTCTTCTTTAACTAATAAAATAGTGTCCAGGCTTTGTAAATCATCTTTATCATCATTTTAGCATCCATATCATTTTGCATTGTCATTTTCATTACGCTGACTATTACCATAATCATCACCATCTTTATAATCATTATCATCACCACCATCTGTATAATAATCATTATCGACATCATCATCGTCACCCTCATCATCATCGCCACCCTCATTATCATCGCCACCCTCATTATCATCATTCCGCCAATCATCATCAATATAATCAATATCATCATCACTATCATCACGATCACCATCATCATCGTCGTCATCATAATCATCTTAGATAAACAAACGTTCTGAAAGCTTACCTATCGCCTCATCTATTTGCTCATGAGAAAGCTTAAACCCAAGAACTCTCAACGCCCTCCGGAGGTCGAAAGCATCGATGTATCTTTTGAACGAAGAGAGACATGATAGTTCAGCGACAATGATGAATATATTATGATAGTATTGTCAAAGGCCTACTCTATTATATAAGTACTCATTAAAACAAATTATTGGCTCTGAGTTTTTCAAGATTCAAGTTCATTGTCCATTATAACAACACAGAAATTTGTTTCAGTTGGTGATATATGTATTATGAAATTTAATATAGATAAAACATTATATCTTGTGCTGAGAGTCAGGATATTATATTAAAGTGGAAGCTCACCCTGATATTAAGTTGGTTTTAATAGATTAAGACAAAATTAATGAGAAAAATATAGCTAAAACCGATTAAAAGTAGGAAACCTGAGGATTATTGTTGTTACATTTCTTAGGCTACAGGGGCTACAGGCCAACCAGTGATACATGAGTATATGGACATTTATCATCAAATGCAATGATCATGCCTGGGGGCGTTTAAAAAAACTTGTCATCAGTGACAAATGACAGTTTTTGTTATAAGCTACTGAAATCCTTGCTTCTGATTGGTTATCAGCAGATTTGTCACTGATTTTTGTCATTTGTCATTGAAAAAATGATTTGTGAAACGGGCCCCAGACATAAGTCGATTTCTTATTTCTCCATTGATGATTTACCCTTTCCTGTCTTTATCGAAGGTGTCAAACACCATCCTCAGATCACGGAGCTCCTGCGCTGTGAACTGAGACGTGAGGGCTGGGTCTATCTCGGCCACGTGATCTCTACCTTGCTCCAATGAGTGAAGGAGGCTGCTTGCCACGCCCAGTCGCCCTTGGGAGGAGGTGGATGATGATGGTGCGGCCATTTTGGATGAGGCGCCGTTTGGAAATGTAGTTGCACCCCGCGGACCAATCCCTGAAGACATCTGGGGGGAAAACAGATTTCGGATGTCACTAATCTGTGCGTTCGTTGTTCATTTGTTGGTTTGTTTGCTTGTCTGTTTTTGCTCGCTGGTTGGAATTTTTTTAGCAAAGTTGTCATAAAAATGTGGCTCAACGCGACCATTCATTATTTCATTACAAAATTATAGCAATGCCTTCAGTTCCGATTTACATTCAGCAAAATATTTTAGTAAAAGGAAACTTTATGTTTGAAAGTGGTTTAAAATTATCATAGGCATTAGTAGGAGCGATTTTCTAGATTATGGTAAACCTGTTGCATTCCATTATACTTTCAAATAAGACTGAACCAGATCTTTAATTCATTTCTCAAATAATTTTCACTGATTTTGATAAGTGATTCTCATGTCAATTTTTTTTCATGACCAATCAATACATGATTAAATTGAATTGAAGAAGAATGGATTACAATCAATGTATCATGGAAATATGGGTGCTCTCTTTTGCCCCAATGGACAAACGTAATCTAGTGTAATTGTAAACTCATTCAAATATAATGTCACATTGTAGAATCGTTACAAAAACAACTTTTTGTTAATAAGATTATAGTATAACGAGGTGTATACTCTGTGACATTTCTGTCCAACAAGGCCTGTAAGTTTGGGTTGCTGACAAAGTAAGCGTTAGGCGCTATATAAGCACTGTAATTATTATTATTATTAGGCTTCATGGTAACTATTTGTCTATTAGAATGTCGTCAACTTCCTTAAGATATTATAATCCAATATTTGTATAATAAATTTGTGCTGTCATAAATAAACATAAGCATTAAGAAATACCGCCTGTCACTAAAAAATAGAACATCGGTTAATATATTGTTATGCATTGTTAAATGCTGTATAGCTAATTAGCGTATAACTACACAATAAAACATGTTAACATACCTTCTTATTGATGTCTGTCCCTAGAGATGGCAGAAAAGAGTGAACGTTTTTGTTTTTCGTCTTCAATTTCTAGTCGTGTATAGTTGATTATTCCGGACTGTAGACAATTGCCGACGTCCAAAGTTCACAAAAACACTTGATACATCTCGACGGTGATAATTATCGCCATAATAGCAACAGCGTTGTTTCCAAAATAGAGTAAGCCTGCAAAGATTTTAGAATTTCTCCTCTGTATATTGTTTACAAAATCTTGAGACAATTTCGTCTGTTCAGCCGCGAATTAATCTAAGCGATATTTTATTAAACATGCGCATCGACACAATGCATACAATTATGTCAAACACAATGAACGAAGCTAGCTTGTAACAGGTGCATAGTGTAATTAACCAGACGTCTTGTAATTATTGTTGCCACCCGCAGCACACACTGACAGTGTATTAGCTGCAAGACGCACACTCATACGCTTTGGGGTTGTATTTGTACGCTTTAGGCTGTTGTCTGAGATCGAGTATTTGATTAAAAGATAATTATTTGCTTTTACGGTGGTGGAGCTTTATGTTTGGGCGATAGCCACTATTCACGATGCTACTTCTTGGTCTTTCGTCTTTATTTTACTAATATCTTTTTGATATGTCGTCTTATCAGACTTTTTCAATATGGTTATATCACATTTCGTGTCTCTGATTTTTTCTTTCTTTCTTACTCCTCCTTACATTTTCTCTTCCGTATTCCATTGTTACTCTTTAAAAATAAACTTTGCTCTCTTGTTTTTGCTTTTCTTTCTGATTTGGAGAAGAAAATGATATCATCTTCTATTGAAATAAGCAGTTCGGTACTTGTATTCTTTGAAAATTGATTACTTAAACAATCTGTTATTATGATACGCGCATCGTTCCTCACATTAGACATGTGTTAAAAGAGAGAGAGAGAGAGAGAGAGAGAGTGGCAAGGAGAGGAGAAAGAGAGAGAGGGAGAGAGAGATAGGGGAAGGGAGAGAGAGAGAAAAAGAGAGAGAGAGAGAGAGAGAGGGGGGGGGGGGGAAGGGAGAGAGAGAGAGGGAGAGAGAAGCTTTGCTAGCTCAAGCTACCATCTTACCAACGATGACACTTCAATATTTGATCAACTCGGAAAATATTTGCTCTTTGTCCTTTTCTCAACGTAATTGTTCTCCGTCTCCCCTACACAAATAGAAACCGAGATGTGTTCTTAAGATGACCCCATTGTTGTGCGCTAATGGTGCGTCACTGTTTTACATGCCTCTTTCCATTCAATACATGAAATCAGATATATCCTGGTACAGAGAGAGAGAGAGAGGGGGAAGGAGAGAGAGAGAGAGAGAGATAGATAGAGAGAGGGGGAGGGAGAGAGAGAGAGAGGGGGAGAGAACGAGAGGGAGAGAGAGAGAGACAGGGGCGGATCCAGCCGGCGCCAGAGGAGGGGGCCCAATTCGTGAGAAAATATTTAGCGGCGAAACCCCCCCCCCCCCCCCCCCCCCCACCCTTGAGCGTCAGATGAGCAAATGTTGACACCGCATTACTTTTCTTTCTTTCTTTTTTTAGGAATTTGCCATTTTCCAACAAACCCATAAAAAAGTATAATTTACTAAAGATTGAAAAAAAATCTCGGAAAATCATGTCATTTCAGCAACAATTTGTAAATCACCGGTATAGAATTAGAAATAAACCAAGTTTTAATTATTTAGGGGGGGATCTGTCACCCCCCCCCCCCCGATCTACACCTTGTTTGCGGGAAAAATCGCAACTGATCTCCCCTACCTTTCTGCTTTCTCTTCTTTTCTTTTTTTCCCTTTCTCTCCTCTTTTTTCTTTCCCTTCCCTTCCTTCTCTCGGTTTTAGGTTTGCTGGGGGAAGGCAAGGGTCTTTCGCCCCCCCCCCCCCGATCCACACGTTGTTGGCGGGATTAATCGAAACTGTTCTCCCCTTCTTTTCACCCTTTTCTTTCCTTCTTCCTCTCTTTTGCTCCCTTTTAGCTCTCCTCTCTCCCTTTCCCTTCCAAGGTCCACGGGCCTTTTGCCCCCTCCCGAACTACAACTTGCTGACGGAAAATTGCAACTGATATCCCCCTTTTTCTCTTTTCTTCTTCCTCATTTTTCCTTCCCTTTATCTCCTCTTTTCCTTTTTATTTCCCTTTCATTCCTTCTCTCTTATTTTGTGATAGGGAGAGGGGGGGGGGGGGAGTAACAGCTGGGAGGCAAGGTCCTTTCGCCCCCCCCCCCGATCTCCTTCTTTTTTTTTCCTTTTCTTTTCTTTTCTTCTTCTTCTTTCTTTTCTTTCCCTTTCTCTCCTCTTTCCCTTTCCTTTCTTTTCCTTCTCTCTCTCTCTCTCTCTTTTTTGCCGGGGGTGGGGGGGGGGGGGCAAGGCCAACTCGGCCCCCTGGATCCGCGCCTGTATGGCGGTAGGTACAAAAAGTATACATGTACCTATAGCCAGACGGCCCTATACATATCCATAATTTTATTAAACGAATTCATTTGCACTTGCTGCCTGCACATCCCCCTCAGACACCCCCCCCCCCCATGCGTTCTTCTTCCTAGTTAGTTGAGCTTAAGACTGTTTTCTTTTTAATTTGGCAAAAAGTATGCACCCAATCGAGCCATTTGTGCATCAGTTTCAAAAAAAAATCTTCAACTTCACCCCCTGCTTTCTTGTTCCTTTCTTAGTTGAACTTAAGACGAGGAAATGTGATTTTCTCTTTGAAATTAAGATACCGTTCGCCAAATGACTTTTTGGTACCCTTTCTTCAAATTATTTTTAATCACTCATGCGTGAACTATGGATCGTATGAATTAAATCAAATGAAAGAGAAGGATCAAAGTTTTACAAATATGTGTCATTTATTAATTATAATTGTGATTAATAAGATAAAACATCGATAATTCTCGGTTTCGTTTTTCTGGGACGCACTGTACAATTATGAGTGTATAAAATGATATTTTATAATCTATTCTCAATCAAACTATACACAGAGCAGATTTTAAATTACTGTATATTACAATTCATTTCTTCATTCTTTTTCTTTTTATTTCTTTTTTATACAAAATATAAAGTATTAATACCTGAACATATCGATTTTTTTTTCTTCTTCTTCCTATTAGCAAAATGTATGCAAACATAACCTGAACAAGCTAAAAGTAGTCAGATGACTTTTCCTTCTAAAAAGCACGTGATTAAAAAGAAGATTTTGATTTTTTTTTTTCAACAAGATAATATGTACAATAAAAACCTGATTGTTCTAAACTTAATAGTCCTTAGTCATTATATAATTATGAATGTGATTAAGCAAATTTTGAATTTCCTTAACAGAGTAATGTATGCAGACAAAACCTAGACAACGTACACGTACAATAGTCAAATCTTGTCATTAACAGGCGCGGATACAGGGTGGGGGGGGGGGGGGGGGGGGGGGGGCAGGGCAGCGGGCTCCCCCCCCCCCCCCCCCCCCCCCCCCCTGGCCCAAAACAGGGAAACAAAAATTATTGTGACTTCAAATTTTCCTCTCTTTTTTTTAGCTCAAGGGGGGGGGGGGGGGGGTTTGAGCGAAATATCGGCCGGCACGATTTTCAAATTTCAGCACACTAGATTTCAAATTGATTTCAAATTTGCCCCCCCCCCCTTAGAAATTCTGGATCCGCGCCTCGTCATTAAAAGCCTAAATCAATGTGTAAGATGTCACATAAAATGTGGAAACTCAGAAATATAGTTTGTCACGACAAATACAAACCAACACAAATATATACATGTAGACAAAAACAAACATAAATAAACGACAAAAAAGCAAAACAAAAAGCCTCACACACATCACTACAAAACACATATATCGATGGATACCAGGGCCGGTATTCAATTAAAGGGGAAGTCCACCCTGAAATTAAGTTAGTTTTAATAGGAGTAGAAAAATGAGAGAAACAAGTCAGTGAAAGTTTGAGCAAATTCCGATTAAAAATAAGGAAGTTAGGATTTTTGAAGTTGTGATCAATCAAACACAAATTGGCAACTCTATGACGTATCATGCGAGCTCAACTTCCATTTGCTCAGTACTAAAAAATCTAAAATTTTCAT